CTAGTAATTTTCGAATTCATTGCGATTTTGTCAGACCCTAGAGTCGATGGTATGCTCGAAGAGAATTTCATTGAAGGCCCCAAAAATCCATATCACATCACATACCCAAATCAAAGTTTTATGGACATTGGCACAGGAGATGTTCCAGCGAGCCTTTAGAGTAACCATCTTCGGTTTTCATGCATTTTTCACTCTGTGCCTGTTCTAACTAGAGACGCCTGAAATTGCATGCGGTAAGTAGTGTGCCGTAAGTCTCACATTTAGTATCTTGCATTCAAATCTTGAAAGTATTAGAAGATTAGGTTAGGTTCACGCTGCTACTGGTTAACTAAGCAGCACACTTAGGCCTACAAAATGGACCCCTTACGTTACCACAGAGATCTCGAAAACCTCTACTCCGCTATGCACCAACTCGTGGAGTCAGCGAATCTCAGCAGCTGCCGTTTGCTCAACTTTGCCGCTGCGTTTGGACCTTTTAAAAATCCGGTTACCAAAAAATGAATGTCTAACGAGATTTCTCTCCTTTTTAAGGAGAAGTTCTTGCGATTTTCTCATGTCCCACTCTGGCCACATTAGCGTATATGTACTAGAGTGTTTCCATCTGGTATGTGCTGGTCCTAAGATTTCGAAGCACGACGCAAACTCAGGTGCTCAGCGTATACTCCCCTGCCTACCTAATTATCAAGCTTGAACCTCTGAATGATACTCTTTTTACTGTAAGTGAGCGTTGTTAGGCGGAAGTCCGTTTGGTTTGGTAAGTTTTGGTTTTCGGGAATGGTAGTATGACCACCTCTCTGCGCTTTCCAACTTTTTAGTTCTTGCAGAAATCCAGTGCAAATGCAATGGAAAACTGTAGTAAATATTTATAGAGAAATCTCAAATTTATGTATGTCTTACAGAAAATTTCATAAAATCCATGATACAAAACTAATATACATATATAAATGATATACATATGTATGTGTATCATCATAAAATCGATTTTATATTTGGACATTGATTTTTACACCATTAAAGTACACAAATTGGTGTTTCCGGTCAAAAGTTGAGGGGATCCTCCTGGGTAATAACGATGTACTAAGTTGCCCGAATTGCAGTTGTTCATTGTTGTTGCTTTTGAACTTTAACTTTGCTACAAAGAGAAAATTATTATGTTGGCCAAAAGGAAAAGTTTGTCCTACTTACCATCAAACACAGTTTGTGTATGTACATATATACGTATGTATATTATTGGACGAAAATATGTAGAGGTGCCTGCAGGAGTTGAAAACACAAATCATACACAAAAGTTGCAGCCGGTATTTGTAAGGCAAACTTTAATTTTAAGTTGAAAACTTGGTATTTTCGTTGGCTGACGGCACACATAAGCCGCTGCTACCCAGTAACCAGTTGCGGGTAAACTACTGTACATATGGGATTCTTTTTTATGTAGTTGAGATAGGGATTAATGCATTTTCATAAGTTTACAATTATGTTTGATTGCAGTTGGTCTTAGCTGTCATCACAGATATACTTATGTATATACATATATGAAGGAGTGTTCTCGTATTCTCCAGTCAAAATGATTCAGCAGCCAGAATTCTGAGAACTTAGCAGTTGAATACCTATCGAAAAGAATAACCTTTTTAAAAGATAGATGAATTATCTTGGAATAAATAAATTATTATTATTATTTTTTTTTTATTGTATGTTGCCTCATCATGACGCATACCAAAATAAAAGAAGCTCTTCCAAAGACCTGTCCTGATTCTCGTAGTCTTGTTCCCAAGAACTCTTAAAATAGCCAAACCGAAAGCGAGAACAAAACTTTCGGGAACATTTTTAAGAGAACAAAATGGGAGCAAAAGTCTCCGGAATGTTCTGACAAAAACAAAACGGCAAGAAAAGTCCCTCGAAGAACAATTTGGGAACTAAAGTCTCAAGAACGTTCTGACAGAGAACGAAACGGTAACAAATCTTCCCTGAACTATTCGCGAAGAATTGAAGGGGGGACACAATTTTGATAAATGGTCAGATCAAACCAATGATTAACCTTCTGGATGTTGAAATTATCCAGCTTTCATCAGGGTTAGAGTTATCAATCATGGTTCTCACTGAAACTAATTTGCATCCCAACATATTAAAGACTTTTTTGAAAGAAATTAATTGTAAAGTATAAAAATGTTTGAATTGTATATCGACGGCTAAATGGAAGATCTACCTGTCTCTTGAAAAGTTTTCTGAGATAGGACATTTTCGAACTGTCTGCCAAGATAGGTCGATCTTCCAGTCAGCCGTCGATATGATATGATTTTTTAAATAAAATCTGTTTATTTAGTGAATCAATTAATTTAAAGTGTCTTGAAATTCCCGATTTGAGTTGTGTGAACAGTCTTGGTTAAGTGAACTGGCCTTGCACGAATTCATGCACCCTTCCCTAATTGTACTATGTATAGTTCCATAATTAGAAATCGCTAGCAAATTTATGGTTTATATTGGGGATAAAGCTCTCTGAGGTAGAGGGATTCATCTCGCTAGTTTAGAAGTCCCACTTGATTGCATAAATGCCCAACAATATTATTAGCAGTGTTGCCAACTTTAGATTTTCAAAAAGCACCAAAAACTTGTGAAAAAAGCATTTTACCACACCAAAAGCACCACATTTTTTTGAATCAAATGATGCTTTTTTCATAACGGTTTGTATTTAACAAAAGCAAAAAATTAACAATATTTACATACATAAATCAATATACAAAACTTTTTCGCTCATAACGATTGAATAGCCTCTACACATGCTATGATGACTCATGCTAATGACGTCGTACCGAAGTACTGCCCATTAAAGCTGGTATATCTCGAGAAAAAAAATCGAATCGCAACAAACGAAAATGATGTCCTAAGTAGAAATGAGCAAAAAATTTGATGTTTTCATTATATAACCTCAAATATCGCAAAAACCCGTGTTTTTGGCAATCTGGGGGTAGGATATCTAAAAATTGTAGTGCTAGAGCAATTGTGCGGCCAGATTTGGATTCAGCACCCTGAAACGATGTGTTTTACTCAGGAGGTAACAAAAAATCAAAATTTGTACAAATAATTAGAAATGAAAAAATAAATACTTAACTTACCTGCGTACTAGCATTTTCAACGCGAATGGAATTCAACAAGGTGGGTTTGCAACTTCAGCTTTTTATCAATAATGGTTGTATTTTAGTGCATTTAAATTTGCAGATTCTGGTAAATTCAGTGCTGCTTTAGCTTTAAATATGTCAGGTTTTTACTATCTCGGAGTAATTTTAGTTCAGAAAAAAGCACTAAAAAAGGCACTAAGCACTAAATAATTTTTTTTGGCGTTTTAATTTTCAAAAAGCACTAAATCTAGTGCTTAAAGCACCAAGTTAGCAACTGTGATTATTAGGAAGCGCATTGAACTAAATGTTTCGAGCAACGAAAAGCTAAGCGATTCATCTGTCCATCAAAAGGTTTAATCAAACAAACTGCTTAATGTAGACGGAAAATAGCTTCCAATTCTTACTGTGCATTTAATAAAGTTCGCAGTTTATACTTAAATCCTTCATTTGGACTCACCGGAAACTGGCAGTTTTCACAATTTTGTTAGACCGAATAAAGCTTGAGAGCCACTGTCTCTAATTACACTCTTTATTGTTAATCTATACCAGCGTTAGGTAGAGAGAGCTTTTACTCTACTCGCGCCCATACAAAATGTATAGAACGCTTAAAAGAGCTTTGCCCGCGGGAAAGGCACTACCCATCAGTGATCTATACCTCTTGGAGAGCGAAAGTTATCTAAACTACAGAAATCTCTAAAAAGATTACCTTGTAGGGAATGCAGGCATAATGTAAATTTTACTAGCACCTAAATCAATGGCGACCAGAAAAGCTTTTACCTTGCGCACACCCATACAAAATGTATAGAAACCTTACAAAAGTTTGCCCGTAGGCGCTGTTTTGAGCAACACAGATCTATGTAAGTAGACTACCTTTGACTTCGATTAGTCATCGTCTCTCCGCCAAAGGCCAAGGTGAGTCATAGTATCCAATTTTTACAACCCCATATTCCAAGAGCTCATTTAGCAGCCGCCGCTTCTAATAAAGACCTGCATGAACTGGAATGTACTTCATGGAGTGCGATCTTTATAGTAATGGCTAAGTTTTAGTTAACTGAATGTACCCTTTTCCCAGCAGTGTTCTATACGGCTGGACCGGCTATCTAGAACAGTGATGCTCAAAACAGCGCCCGCGGGCAGAACTCTTCAAAAGCTCTCTGCAGATTTTATATGGACGCGCACAGAGTAAAAGCCCTCTTAAATAGTTCTCGAAGCTAACAATTGTCGAAACTGCTTCACTTCAAAATGGTAAAAAAGGCACATCGTACGGTAAAATTAATGTCAGCAGGTACCTACATGTTTAGATATAGCAGAGAGAATGAGGCACGTACAGTTCTGGAACTAGTCACCACATCGAGCTTTTGGATGCAGCAAAGAAACGCTATGTTATAGACTTGCTATGTGCAAACGTGACAATGAGTGAGCGGACACCGAGCTAGTTGCCAACGAATTCGCACACGTTGCATTTCGGATCAAAGTTCCAATGGAAGTGTTTATATAGTGGCCACCAGCAACATGCTGCCCCAATTAAAGTTTGAATCTGTGCAGTTAGCGCTTACACTCTGATACACAACGTACGCACTGCCTGGACTGCCGCGGCGGGAATGAATTATTTCAGAAAGTTTATCATTGCACCTCTGCGCTGCCTTTGCGCTGTAGTCAGGTAGGGTTTTGTTGGATGCCACCATCGCGCCAAATACAGCTGTTGACATGTGGCAACTTTATTGAGCGCCTGGTTTAAAGTTTCGCACCAGAGACGTGACTTGAATCATAAATTACGCAAGGCAATAGGTCTCATTCCTCAAACACTTCAATATTTTTAAAAAACTACTTGTATATATTTTCACAATTTAAATTTTACTTAACAAAAAACTCTTTCTCCTCTCTTTCCAGAACTGTGCGACGCAGCTGCGAAAATCCAGGCAGCCTTCCGTGGCCACTTGACACGCAAAGTCGTTACCAAAGAAACGCCTGACGATGTTGACATACAGGAGATCACCAAGAAGGTGGCTGAGGAACTGGATATCGATCTAAGTGATCCGGAATTGCATAAGGCGGCCACTAAAATTCAAGCCTCCTTCCGAGGTCACAAAATTCGCAAGGATATTGGAACTGAATAAGAGAATTTTTCGCCTACTTTCTCATCATAAAAACAACAATGTTGATGAAGTATAACAACTAAATACAAAAGAAAAACTTAAAATAAAAGATAAAGCAAATATAAAGCAGGAGTAGAAAATAAAAGTGTAAACATCATGAATAAAAAAAATATATATAAAAATTGTAACAATGCAAAATCGCGCCATTTGTGCAAACAAATATTTGAAATTAAAAAAAGGTATACCAAGATTGCCCTACACACAAACATACATACTTACATACACCGAGAGAAACGAGCAGCGGTCATTAAAAAGAAAAACTTTTAAATAGCTGAAAATAATAACAGAAAATTGTTGAAAAAAATCTAATAGAAAATGTGAAATGTTAAAGAAATATTGAAAAAAATTAAATAAAGCTTGTAACTTTTATTGAAACTAAAGAGAAGTACACAAATTTGTGCGCAGTGTTGCATATTTTGCTAAATTAAATTAATATGAAAATCTGAAGCTTTTTAATATCAAATATTTATCAGAATAAAATAAATAGAAAAAATTTATTTATTTAAGCACATTATTTTAGAGCACACCGGTCGGCGGGAGAAGGGTTTCATAATACGTTCTTTGAGCTTTATGATAGGTAACTGAGAAAAAAGTATACATATGTATGTTTATTGAATTACTTAGTTATCAATACAAATTGT